ATCATGCGTCATCCTCGCCACTTGACCGAGGTTCAAAATACGAGGTTCGTTACCAGTTATGCACCTTTGTGTTGCATTATAGTGCAACATAATGTCCTTTATATAATTATTCTTTGTGTTTAGTATTTATATTTCGTAAAACAAACTATTATGTTTGAAGTGGCGCGCTTATCCGGAGGACAGAACCCGCGACCTTTGAATCCGAAGCCGAGTAACTTAACCACTAGACCAAAATGATCATTTCAGTCCGGAGGCTGTTACTGGCTTATATAGGAACCACCTCTACACACTCCCCCTCTAGTGAGTCGGTGAATAAGCGAACGAACGATATAGTTGTTATGGTGGGCGTGTTGCGTGAGCAGTTGCTGCCGTTAATTGGAGGAGTTGCATCAAGTGAATCTGACGAGTTTGTTTTGCTGCGCCAGGTGAGATTTTGGTTGCTCTTTTTTGCTGGTAGAAGGCGCCACGACAGATCAGAAGGTTGCCTTTTCTGAATTCAGCCAGGATCACCAATGAGATGGCGTGCTTATCCGGAGGACAGAGCCCACCACCTTTGGATTTGAAGCCGAGTAACTTAACCACTAGACTAAAATGATCACTTCAGTCCAGAGGCTGTTACTGACTTATGTAGGAACCACCGCTGCATGTTCATAATTGTCTCAAGAGCAATTCATTTCTTTTTTCGTCTATATCCTAAAATTTTTATACGTAGATTTTTTTCCCCTTCATTTTTACTTTTCTTGAACACCAAACTACTAAACTTTATTCAGAGATCCTAGATTTGACAAAATACTTCATTTTGAGTTCTGAAATTTCAGTGACCGTTGAAAGAGCATGCCAATATACAAAAGGCAACAGAGAAATAAAACCAAAATATTTTCTTTTTCATGATCTCTTTTGATTTATTCGACTTCGATAACTTAAGGGTTGATATATTTTTTCAAATTGTGTGTGAAACCGTTGAAAAAAGCGTTGCAATGATAATGTTTTTCCTTAGAATTCAAGTTACTGATATTACAATCCCTTCGGCAAAATTCTTCTTTTGAAACCGAACACGACCAGATTGAAGCGTTAGAAAACTAGCGCCAGGAGTACAATCAACGTAGAATGAAAATCAACAAGACAAAAAAAAAATCTACCTGACTTAGTCTTTTCAAAAAGACCGAAAACAACTTCCACTCTCAATTTTTTTTTTTTTTTTTTTTTTTTTTTTTGTATGATTATTTTCATTCCTGTCTTAGATTCTTAGAGATCCAAACGTAAAAATTCTCCTGTTTTCCGTCGAAGCGTTAAGATTTCGAGCTTTTAAAGCCATCCGAAGTCATTTAACATTTTTTTCCCCTCCGTTCTATATTGCTCCAGTACAAACAAGACTTTTAATAGCTTTCGAACAGAAAATACCTCCAGGCAAACGGAAAAAAAAGGAAAGAAAACAGTTTTAAAAAAAAGATAAAGCTTGTGGATATTTATTTACCAGCCTGTCCACACATCAACTTTAGAATAAGAATTCCATTCGACAAAATCGTCTCTTTTTCTGTGGAATGTTTGAAGTGGAAATGTTTAGTTTTCCCTTTAGAATCATTCCGTTCGAATTGCCTTATTTGCCATTCTCATAGAGGAGGAGGATTTTTGAAGACACTTTCAGTGAAAATGGCAAAGAAGGTTCGAAAATCTATTTCTTCTATAAAGTGATGGATAAAATATGAACTGACTCGTCAGTTTTCAAAAATGGTACCATTTTTTTTTTATCAAGACCAACGTGAATAGCGGTTCTATATATAGTGATGTAGTAAAAAGTCTTGGGTAACACCTGAAAAAAATTTTAGCGAGATTATTTCCACGGAAAGTGAAACATTTTTGGATTTTTTTTTACTGGTATGTAATTATGAGTTTGCGATCAGTTAATTTGTATATTCTATTATCAATGGTGAATCGGTATTTGGCTCTTGCCCTGCGTTGATATACGAGGGCTGTTTTTTAAGTAAGGTCCGTTTGTTTTTAAAAAAATAACAACAATATTTTGTTTCAAAAAGCCTTATTTTAGGATTGTACATACTTTGCCTAATTTTCTACATAGTTGCCGAGTTTATTAATCCACTTGTCATACCTTAGGACTAAGTTTTGAAAATCCTCTTCGAAGAAGTCTGCCTCCTGGTCGGAAGCCAAGATTTCACGGCCGCGTGCACTTCTTAACGGCGTGGCATGCTGTCAAAAGGTGTTTTGCTCCTCCACGATACCGCAAGGCCTCATACTTCTCGAACGATTCGGCCCGTAATCGAATGTTTTGACTGGGAAACTTTGGCTCATGCACCATACAGCCCCGATCCTGCTCCTCTAACAACTTCCACCTTTTCCACCTCAAACACAGTCTTAGTGGGAAGCGCTTCAGTGACAACGAAGAAGTGAAAGCGGCCGGGAACTCTTGGCTGTCCGACCATGCGGCAGACTTCTTTGAAGAGGATTTCCAAAACTTAGTCTTAAGGTATTACAAGTGCATTAATAAACTCGGCAACTAAGTAGAAAAATAGGCAAAAGTATGTATAATCTTAAAATAAAGGCTTTTTCAAAACAAAATATTGTTGTTATTTTTTTTAAAAACAAATAGACCTTACTTAAAGAACAGTCCTCGTACATAATATTACATATATTCATGCTACACTTCGTACAATTTTTGCATATTTGATCACACTTGTGGCGGGTGTGAGAGGGTTCGTGGAAGAAGCAGACATGACCATAAAAAAAATGGTTCATCTTATTTAATCTTTAGAACTTTATGAAATACACATTTACAACTGAACTCTGGAAGCAATATAAAATTTTAAGCCGTAGTCAGATAACTAAGTTATGGAAACTACTTTTCTGGAGTGGCAACTCCTTCTATGATCCTTCTTGAAGCCCGATAGTACGGTCAGCTTTATATTTAGTTACTTAACTACTTCCTGATAGATTCTGTGTCGAATATTAATCTTAAGATGCTCGACCACCAGTTGCTGTTTACTAACACTTGGAATTCAGCTTAACGATCCACGCTTAACCCTTAACTCGCATACTCAACGACTGGCACTTAAATAGTAGTTACATTTGCATAAAATTAAGCAATCTCTATTGGAAAGAGGTTTTTGATCTAAAACCACAATTTAAAAATGTTTTCCCCAAGAGGATTATAGTAGAAGACCCGAATAGACACCGTTGCACATTGGTAAAATATTATCGCTGATAAGGGCAGAAAAACCGACTTGTAGATGTAAAAGAAAAAATTTTGAATGTTTGCTTCTCCATGCATCTGGGCTTGCTTTATGAAATAAACAATTTCGTGCGGCTATGTACTAATGACTACGGGGTCCTAATGGACCTTCTTTTTGGACGTAGCTGGGATTACTATACAACCATTGGTCCTAATCACCCCTCACGCGCTGGACTTTGAAGCCAGATATTGGTGTGGGAACTGCGTTGGTCACCTCTCTGTCGGCTGGATAAAGGGAGGTCAAATGTTGCATCAGAGTGTCCGGTCTTGGATACTTTCCCCCGCGAGACTACGTGACCGTTCAGGCGTCACTAGTTCCCTAACAAGAAATGGGTCTTTCGATGGAGACCACCGAATACTTTAATATAATCTCAATTGAATGAGGAAACCATGTTTATAATAGCCTTGAATTTGCTTGAGAAAAGCTATTAATTTTAGTTTTCAGGGGGAGTTAACGAAGGATTTCATTTCATTTTCGGATAAATTTACCAATAAATAACTGTAATTAAATACGTTTGTCATCTATAACATTCTAATCCAAGGGCCGTGGGTAGCCTAGTGGTTAGAGCATCGGACGCCAGACCGGAAGGTCTGGGTTCGATGCCCGATGTCACCAAATACCCTCCGAGTACACACGGAGCACGTGCTTGTTAAATCATTGGTCCGAAAGTCTTGTTAGTGGTTGTAGCAGCAACCACGGATGTAGGGGGCTGGAGAATATTTCCCTCCCCTCCAGTTTTATGCTTAAATTGTAGAGGTGGAGATAGGTGGTGTCACAATCTATCGTGTATGAACCGAGACAAATCGTACTGTCACCTGCATGGTGCTAAAAGCTAACGACAGGCGTACACCTAGCCCCTTGCCACGATGAATTTCGTGCGCCTCGATCTGAGACCGTCAGACTGGTGGCATGACATTAGAAACAACAACAACAATATAATAAACTGTAGTTCAATTTTTTTTATTTAAATTAAATAGCAATTCTCTCTCCATAACTATTTACTATTCGTTTCCCACCCACTTCCCGGGGTATTTCATGATATTCTACGAATATATATACTATTTCCAAGTTATTGATGTATTAGACTTATCATTAAGTTTCATATATGTTGAAAAACATTCTCACAGCTCTAGCCTTCTAATTTAAAAATGATTTCAATTTTAAAACTAAAGTCTATTTGGGTCGCGAGAGTTCATTTCCGTAACACCTATTCTTAGCGGATCTCTACTCAACAAAAGAAACATCCCTACCAAATTTCAAATAAATAGGTCTAATAATTCAAAAACGAGAATGTTTATTTGTAATCCTCCAAATCCCTCGCAATCCCTCTTGAGAGTCGATTTAGTTCTTAGAGGATATCTACTCAAGAAAAGAAACATGCTTACCAAATTTTATAACTGTAGATTAAACATTTTGAGAGATCTCGTGATAAAGGAGTCGACTTTCTCCTTCATAAATCTAGATTGCTAGTGGAAATGGGGTTTTTTTTCAATTCCTACTATTAGTTCACACTCTCCCTATATATATATTTATTTATATACATCTATATCTTGTTCAAATTTTCAATCGTTAATAATACTTTTTATTCATCCATTCAAGTTCAAATACATTTTTTTTAGCTTATAGTGGATGACACTCGATGTTAATACAGTTTTTTTAAATATTAATTCATTAATTCTATTTAGTTAATGTGTGAATAAATAGTAACATAAATAGTAGTGCAACACCATATATAAAAAGGACAATCGCTCGCTATGTCCTGTAGCACAATGGGTAGCGCGTTGGACTTCTAATCCAAAGATCGTGGGTTCGGATCCCACCTGGGAAGGCTTAATTTCTGAGAATGTAATTTATTTTTACTGTATTATATTAGAAGAATTAAGTTTAATTATAATGAATAAATAGTAGCAAACAAAAATAATAGTCCAACACCCTATATAGAAAGGAAAATGTAAAATTGCAAGGAAAATCGCTTTTTATTTTGCCACTTAATATTGTGATTCTGTCATTTGTATATACATATTTATTTCTATTGTAACTATTTAATAAAAAGTAACTAAAATAAAAATTTTCTTTATTGACCTAAGTAGGAATTGACTTAAGGTATCCGAACACGTTGAAAATGACCAAATTCAGTCAAGACAGATATTTTTGTTTTTTATTTTATTGAATAGAGCTATCTTTTGACTTTACGAAACATACTTTGTTTTGTTTCTACACTACCTAGAGGCCAAGTTACAATCAATTTTATAGATTTAGAAAAACCGGAAGTATGGGTTTTTGATCTACCAGAAGTGGGCATTTAAATTGCTCAAAATCTATCATGGCGAGTCTGATAACTCAAAATATTACGAATGTATTTCTATAAAACTTTTTGAACCTGATATTTATATTATTTTCTAGAGAATGTACTAAAATATTTCTTATTGTAGGAATACTTTTTGAGTTATGGCTTGTTATTTAAATAATGGCCTCATAAAAAAAATGTAACATTTCTTATAATGTTTACTCAATCAGCACTAAAACTTTCAAATTTTTAATAAAAAATTAAAATTTTGATACATATTCTAGATAAATGCATCTAATTTTTTTTAATAATACTTTTACTAATGTATGTTTATTACTTTTTTCTCTAACTGCTTTGAAGTTTTTCAAAAATATTGCTAAAATTTCACTTATAATTGGGATTTATGTAAAATTCAGGTACCTTAATTTAAATTTTGATAGTTAAATAGTAATATTTATTGGTATTGAGTCCTAAGAGATCATTTATAATGTTTTAGTATGCTATTTTGTTAAAACGTGTTCGGATAACTTAAAAATTTTTAATTACTTATTTTTTACTTAATTTCACAATTTGTTCGCTAAGTTAACACATGCAGAACGTTGATACGTTACATATTTGCTCATCAAGTGTAAACCATTCTCAAGTAATTTTCTAAAACAGTCAGAATCAAAAATGTTTAACATTCAAAGATTTCCCACATTGAATGAGTGCAAATAGATTCAAAATTCAATAAATCATTTACCAGTATACTTTAGGGAGATATACGTCTAATTCAGTTAAATTAATGGTTCTGGTACTTCTGTGGTTTTCCCGATACTGTTAAACATTCACAGATAGGACTAACTAATGATTTAAATAAATTTATAATCCACATTTTCAACGGGTATCGAGAGAGAGAGAGAGCGATACTTTGACACATAATTTATCACACATTACATTTTCGAATATTAGATCAACTGAATATTTACGAAAATGACATTAGCGATCAAATAAGTGAGATTTATGAGAAAGTGTGCAAGTAAATTTTGCCAATATCGTTTTATGCGATCATTAAACAACATTTAATTCGCTGCATAGAGTTTATATTACATTACGTTCTGGTTTGATTGCGTATGATTATATACATTGTTTGTGATTGATTAATAATATCACACTACAAAACTGGTCAATGGACCCTTCAATTTTGACGAAGAAGACACCTGAGCTAGCATCTTACTATTCAAATTTCCACTCCACTTCAACGTGAGGACTATGAGCCCCAGAAGATTTAACGTGCATCAATCCCCTAACACGGCAATACCATATACAAATTATGACAAGAATTTAATATTACTGGTACATATATAAAGCCCAGTGGCTGAATGGTACTGTATCGCGCTTCCCCGCCACAGTTCCGGGGTTCAAATCACAGACAGGATAAGGTTGATTCAGCCTTTCCTCCCTTCAGTGGGTCGATAAATGAGTACCAAGCTTGTTTGGGAGTTGAACACTGGGGGTTTCGCTTCAAACTGGCCACTTGACCGAAACATCTGCACATTCACCCAGTGACGGATCTATACGCGACCTTCCCTTAACAAGTCCTTTTGGGTATTCTTTTAGGCCAGCAAATTTTAACCAATCTTCTCCTAAAGAAGGAAACGTGATATGCAAATTAAGTTTATTATATATATTCCTGGTTCGCGAATTAACGAGTTAGTGAATTGTGAGTGGATTAGAAGTGAAGAGAATAGTGAATAGTTAGTAAATTGGCAGTGAAGAGAATAGGTAAACAGAAAGTTAGAAAATCAGAAGTTTAGCTAACAAGAGGTCAAGATAGTTACACGGTAAAAGATTATACTCAAGAAGTGTTAAAGATAAGTTGGATTTACTAGAAGACTGCCTCAGTTCAGATACTGTTAACTTTATATTACGTGGATGTTTAAAGTTTTAAAATGGTTAGGCAGACTTTAAGTAATTATTTATCTTCCGTGTAAAGTAATATTAAGGAGAAGAGCCGCATTATTGAACATGTTCTCCCCAAAAGCGAATCTCGTCTCTTTTCTCTGTTGCTTGACTGAATTATCCTATTTAAAGTGTTATTTGTGTTTGAGTCGATTATAGTGATAAATAAATGTCGAATCATGTCGAATGATTCTTTAATTCCTTCTACACTTTTAGCTGAGCCACAGGGTAGAAGGGATTTAGGCTCGTTTCAACCCCAGCGTCTAAGTTCATGTAAATTGAGATAGGCTCATTAGGCCTTGGCCCTTATGGGCTGTTGCGCCCCCGAGTTCAGTTCAGTTCAGTACATATATAAATTACAATATTATTATTACATTTCGTTACATCTTGCTTAACAAAAGTGGCAGAATCCCCAGTTCTCTGCCTTGATCTGTTGGAGTTGCGTGCTTTCGTTTACTTACTGGACATGATTATTTGTAGAGCCATTTACATCGCATTGGAGTAAAGGATTCTGCTTGTTGCCCTCTGTGCCACCAGGGTGAAATGGATGGTGATCACCTCAGACACTGCCCTATTGTTTTACAGTTTTTTGTAGACAATTTTACGATGGCAACTTTTTATTCTTTTTATGCTTCGTCATCATTTTACTGGGCTGCTCATCGACTAATGGTAGAGATGCCGAAGATGGGCGTAGGATAAAAAAAAACATTTCGTTCCAAATTTGTCTCATATTTTTTTACTTAGATACGAATACACACAACTCTTTTTAACGGTCTTTTTTTTTTTTCTTTTTACTATATTTTAAACGCGAATTTTACGATTTTTTTTTCTACACAATTTTTTTGTTCTAGCATTTAATTCTACAGAGCTTGAAATTTGCTAAAAGTGTAGAACAACACATTTTTTTCTCATGATCCTGACATAGAGCGTGGATTAAAATTTCGATGTAATCTTAAGTTTTGTGTAGCAGGATATTAAGTATTATATAAACAACTTGAGATCCCCCCCCCTAAAAAAACAGCCGCTAATAACAGACTTTCTAACAACACAAAGAAAACTGAGGCCGTTAAAAACGAATTAAATTCTTCATTTAAATCAAAACCAAAGTTGTGCTAGACATATCTGACACATCTCTGATGATAACATTTTTGATCCAGTTTATAAAAAACTTGCTCGCTTGTTATGAGGTAGCGATGATAGTTCTTTCTAATTTCAATTTGAAGTGTTAAATGTTGTATGTACTTATATACTGTGAATTTTCACTGTACACTAATATTATTATTAGTAGTAGTAGTACTTGTAGTAATAATTTTTTGTTTTTGTTTTATAAACATGTAATTGTTAATAACATTGTTTTATTATTTTTTGCAATTTTTTATGAAAATATTTAGAGATTTTTCATATCTTGCATGATTTTTTTTAAATTGTGGAACGTATCCCCAAATTTACCATATGTCCAGTGGCGTAACGGAGAATTTTACGGCCCACCTGCAAGGTCAGGCCTTAGGCCCCAAGCCTGATCTTACAAAGAATCGCAAAACCACAAAAAAGCACGAGCTTTGGTCCCCCTAGAATCCTGCCCCCCCCTGCGATAGGGGGTAGCCATGGTAGACAAGTGGTCAAGGTATTGGATCATGGCTAGCGTGTCATGAGTTCGAGCCCATTACCACTGAAGACCCGCCGTGTAGGGGAGCGATGCACGCTAAATCTGTCGAGAGATCAAACGTCCTCCCGTTGGTGTGGTGTGGTAGTTAGGAGAGGAGGATGCCAACTCAGGTGCCATCCGCGTCACTTGACCATGGTTCAAAATTATGCGGTCCGTCGCCAAAAGCCCTCGTGTAGCTGAAGAGTGCGACGTTAATATTCACTCACTCACCGGGGGATAGGGGGGGGTACATTACGCCACTGCCTATGTCATTTTTTACACGATTTTCTAAGGAACGCATTAACAATGTAAGAAAAGAATGGGGTGTACTACTCTATCACAGTCTTAAAAAGTACTCCTTTACTAATTATTTACAAACCCCGGAACCAGGGGTGTACACAAGGAGGTGGTCGGGGGTTCACCTCCTCCCCACCCACAGATCAACAGATTTTTAATTTTTACCATAGAGATTATCCCCCAGCGTTTTCAATTAAGTATTTTTTAGAATGTAACAATTTCAATGTTTAGAACTTTTTTAGAATGGAGGGGTTTACACATTTAAAAATCATGTAATCTAATCTTTATGTTAAAAGTTACAAAAATCTCTTTGTGTATGGAAGGGGTCTGATCTCCCAAACTCTACCCTTGTGTACACCACTGTAAGGATCCCTACCCTTGTGTACACCACTGTAAGAATCTCTACCCTTGTGTACACCTATCTAAGGATCCCTACCCTAGTGTACACCACTGTAAGGATCCTACCTTGTGTACACCTATCTAAGGATCCCTACCCTAGTGTACACCACTGTAAGGATCCCTACCCTTGTGTACACCACTGTAAGGATCCCTACCCTTGTGTACACCCCTGTAAGGATCCCTACCCTTGTGTACACCACTGTAAGGATCCCTACCCTTGTGTACACCCTGTAAGGATCCCTACCCTTGTGTACACCCC